CTGGGCGCTGGCCCTAAGCTCTTCAGCTCAAGGCAAGCACTCTACCACTTGAGCCAACATACCACTTCCGTTTTCTGGTGATTTATTGCAGATAAGAGTCTCACGGGCTTTCCTGCCTAGGCTGGCTTTGAACCTTCATCCTCAGATCTCAGCCTCCTGAATAGCTAGGATTACAGTTGTGAGCCACCGGTGCTGGGCTTTATACTGATTAATTTTGCTGTAGGATCTCACTGTACCCAGCTTTTGTGCCTCCCAGGTAGCTGGGATAACAGATGTATACCATCCTGTACCACTGGAGTTACCTTTTACAAAAGCTCTAATCTCCATTGTGAATTATTTACATTGCTGGAAAGGAGTAACTTTTTTTTTTCTGTTCCTCCTGGGGTTTGAACCCATCAGGGCCTGGCCGTTGTGCCTGAGCTTTTTTGCTCAAGCACATAAATTTTAAGTCATTGGGTTCTTTCAATTAATTTATTTTTGTATTTGTAATGTAAATACTTGTTTTTGATGAAGATCAGAAGTTATATGTTGTGGCCTGTTAGTCACACATTTAGTAGTTTTGATATACTGTTTTCATGAATAGGAAACTCAACTGGATGGCTACTTATATATTTCAGGCCAATAGGTGACAGCCCTTTGTTTTAATCAAAGTATGACTCCATATCTCTTGTAAAAGTTTTCTGTTGGGAAAAGGGTACTTAAAAATTTCTCGTTTCAGCCAGGTGCTGGTGGCTCATGCCTGTAATCCTAGCTACACAGGAGGCTGACATCTGAGGATCATGTTTCAATGCAAGGCTGGGCAGGAAGTCCTTGAGACTCATATATAGAAGTGGAGTTGTGACTGAAGTGGTACAATGCTAGCCTTGAGCATAAAATCTCAAGAGCAGTGCCTGGGCCCAGAGTTCAAGCCCTATGACCAACCCCCCCCCAAAACCTCAGTATTGCCAAATAAAAGAAAAATATTTCTTCTAAGTTAGGAGTTGGACTTACAGCCTATTTGATGATGGGAATTTGATGATGGGAAGAGAACTCTTCAACCATCTACTTATTAGGAACAGTGGTCTGGCCTAGCCATTTGAAAAATAATGGTTGAGAGGCCTGGGAGGAACACCTGCCTAAGTCAGACATGGTGTACCTCAGAACTTGGGAGGCCAAGGAAGGAGGATCTTAAGTTTGAGGCCAGTCTAGACTACATAGTAAGTTTGGGCTAGCCTGGCAAATGAATAAATAAGAGATTTCTTCATTTACAAATAATAGGTGCTCTGTGTGAAGAACTTGAGAAACAAAATTTCTGGGGCCCATCATGTAGCTGAGTGATGGAATATATATATATATATATATGTATGTTTAACATGTACAAGGTCCTGAGTTCAGTTCCCACCCAAAAAGAAAACATTTTCTCCAATAATCCAGCTATCAAATAATTTCTCACTGTTAAGATATTAATCTGACTGGGTACCAGTGGATCATACCTGTAATCCTAGCTACTTAGGAGGCTGAGATCTGAGGATCAAGGTTCAAAGCCAGCCTGAGCAGAAGAGTCCCCTTGAGACTTTTAGCTCCAAAAAATTGCTCAAAAACCAGAAGTGAAGCTGGGTTTCAAAATGGTAGACTGCTAGCCTTGAGCAAAAGCGCTCAGGGACAGCGCCCAGGCCTTGAGTTCAAGCTCCACGACAAATACACACACACACACACGATATGTTTTCTTCTAGTCCTTTTTTAATGTACATATGTGTATTTGTATATAAAAATTAATAGTGAAATCATAAAATTATGTGTAATGTTGTATTAGTGTACTATGCATTTGGTGCTGACAATCTCAGACTAATAAAAATTTTATTTTACTTTATCACTTTTTAAAAATAATTCTTCTAATTTAAATAAAAAATTAAAAACTCATTTTGGGCCAGCTATGATGTGATGGTTCATGTTAGTAAATCCCAATACTTTGGAGGTTGGCAGATGAGAAGTTTAGGCCATAAATTTGGGTTATGTAGTGAGTTCCAGGCCAGCATGAGCTATTTACCAAAACCATGTCCTCAAAACAAAATCAGAATCATACAACTGTAGAAGACCTTAATGATTTGAAGATTGATCATCCAATCTATAAAATCAAATAATCTAGATAGTGAACTCAGTTGCTTGGTGGGTTTTGGGATTTAACAATGAGTCAGTTTAACACAATATGAAACTAATCTTGGGGCTTTTAAATCTTGTTACATTACCATAATAGTGAGTCAGTATCTTTTGTATAGCATAGAAGAAAAATTAGACTTCATTAACTTTAGTATAATTGTGGTCATTCTTACTGGTCTCTCTTTTTCTAGTTTTACTCTCTGTTACAAGCTTGTTTTATATCCTGGCAATCATCTCTGTTGGGCTCCTCTACAAATTCTACACCAAGCCAGATGGCTGCACAGAAAACAAATTCTTCATCAGTATTAACTTGATTCTCTGTGTTGTGGTTTCTGTTGTATCCATCCTCCCAAAAGTTCAGGTATGGTGGTTTTCTGCTTCTTCCTCATGTGAAAGGTTTTTAGTTAATGCTAAACTTAGAACCTGTGTAACTTAGCGAATTTATATTTGAGTTTTCCCCACCTAAATATTTTTCTATATAATGAAAACATTTTCTTAATTATTTAACCACTAAGAATTTACTTGTTTTTATTTCTGTGTTATTAATAATCTAGACAGCTTGAGAAACTGTAGTTCTTTTAAAAGTATTTAAATCTTGGGAATGGTTCTTAATAGTTGTTAGCCAATTTTTTAAGGCAATTAGAGTAATTGATTTTTTATTTATTTATTTTATTGTGAAAATACGGAGGGGTTACAATTACATGAGCAAGGTAATGAGTACCTATCTTATCAAGCATTGTTGCCTCCTCCTTTGTTTGCCTTTCCCATCCCTTCCCATCTCCACACACCCCCGCCCTGATTTTTTTAAAAAATTATTATTATTTTTTTGGTCGGTCGTGGAGCCTGAACTCTGGGCTTGGGTGCTGTCTCAGTCTGCTTATGTGGTGCTGAGGAATCAAACCCAGGGCCTCATGTGTACAGGGAAAGCATTCTACCACTGAGCCACCTTCCCTACCCTAATTGATTTTAATATTAACAAAATGCATGCTCCTTTTTTTTTGGGGGGGGGCTTGAACTCAGGGCCCAGGCATTGTCCCTGAGCTCTCTGTTCAAGGCTAACACTCTACCACTGTTGAGCCACAGCTCTACTTCTCGTTTTCTGGTAGTTAATTGGAGATTAGAGTCTCACAGAGTTTCCAGCCTGGGCAAGCTTTGAACTGTGATCCTCAGATCTCAACCTCTTGAATAGCTTGGATTACAAATATGAGCCACCAGCATCCCACTAAAACACATACTCTCCTAAGTTTCCTCTTTAATATACTGTACAGGTTTGGAGTGTATCTTAGTGGTATCACGCATGTCTAACATGCATAAAGCCCTAAGTTTGGTACTGCTAGATTCTTTCCCCACTGTCCTGTTACCCCAAAAATACAATACATTAAAGAAATTCAATGAGGGCTGGGAACGTGGCTCAGTGGTAGAGTGCTTGCCTTGCATGCATGAGGCCCTGGATTCGATTCCTCAGAACCACATAAGCAAAAAGAAAAAAGCCGTAAGTGGCGCTGTGGCTCAAGTGGTAGAGTGCTAGCCTTGAGCTGAAGAGCTGAGGGATAGCGCCCAGGCCCAGAGTTCAGGCCCCACGACTGGACAAAAAAAAAAAAAATTCAATGAGTGTTAGATAGAAAAATAATATCTAGCCAGGTACCGGTGGCTCATACCTGTAATCCTAGCTACTCAGGATCTAGGATTGTGGTTCAAAGACAGCCTGGACAGGAAAGTCTATAAGACTCTTCTCTCCAAATAACCACAAAAAAACTGGAAGTGGGGCTTGTGGCTCAAGTGGTAGAGCACTAGCCTTGAGCTGAAGAGCTGAGGGACAGCGCCCAGACCCGGAGTTCAAGCTCCACAACCAACAAAAAGAAAATATCTACATATCACTTCCTTTGTAAAGAAACTAGCTTGAAAGTGGATCCCAGGAACTTAGAAGCTGAAGTATGAGAATACCTTTCAGGCCAGCCTGGGGAACCTAGTGGACTCTGACTCAGAAAACTCAAGTCTCAAGGAACTGATCATCTAGCATTTTAGTGGTAGAACTGATTATAGGTTTTTCCTGTTATACAAAGGGGTTAGAAAACCAAAGCCATTGTGATAGAGAACTTTTCAGGATTACAAAATGTTTGAGAGCCAGCAGTAGATACTTGTTAATTCTTTTGTAGCTAGTTCTTACTGAAGGACTAGTTACTTGTCATCTTTCAATATTGAGAATCAGGAAGGTCTCAGTTACTTAATAGTTTAGTGAGTCCCAAGAAAGTACATAGACTTTTAGCCGGGCACTGCTGGTTCACGCCTGTAATCCTAGCTATTCAGGAGGCTGAGATCTGAGGACACGGTTCAAAGCCAGCAGAGGCAGGAAAGTCTGTGAGACTCTTATCTCCAATAAACCACTAGAAAACCAGAACTGGTGCTGTGGCTCAAGTGGTAGAGCGCTTGCCTTGAGCTGAAGAGCCCAGGGACAGCGCCCAAGCCCCACAATGGACTAAAACTTTTAGAACAATACACATGGTTTTGTTTTCCTTTTGATTCCATAGGAACACCAGCCTCATTCGGGCCTCCTGCAGTCTTCTATCATCACTCTCTACACCATCTACCTCACATGGTCAGCCATGACCAATGAACCTGGTAAGGGACTGTCAATAACTCAGTGATGAAAGTAGCAAAGTACTCCTTTGGTGGGTACAAAAACTAGAGCTAAACGTAGTTTGACATTTCTGGAGAAAATGTCAAACACATCAATTACAGTGGTTTACCAAAGGTTTTCACATATTTTTGTTGTTGTTGTTGGTCATGGGGCTTGAACTCTGGGCCTGGGCGCTGTCCCTGAGCTCTTCAGCTTAAGGCTAGCACTCTACCACTTGAGCCACAGCATTACTTCCAGTTTTCTGGTGGTTTATTAGAGATAAGAGTCTCACAGGCTTTCCTGCCTGGGCTGGCTTTGAACCTTCATCCTCAGATCTCAGTTTCCTGAGTAGCTAGGATTACAGGGGTGAGCCACCAACACCTGGCTCCTTTTATGTTTTATTCCCCACATCTATCCATAATTATTCAGACTAGCAGGCTGACGCTCCGCAGTCCTTCAGTAGACTGGGCCTTATTTTACCTGGACTAGTCGAGCTTTGGATTGTTTTGATCCTTTGTTAGAATTGATTTAAGTGAAGTTTACTTTTGGACTCAAGCTCTAGCAGAAACAACAGGGGGAAATTTTCTTTCAATGTAATTTATTTAGCAATAATTTTTATTGTTATTATTATAAAGGTAATATACAGAGGATATTTCTTTTTTCTTTCTTTTCCTGGCTCTGGTCTGGGCTTGAACTAAGGCTTTCATGCTCAAGGCCTAGTATTCTTCCACTTGAGCCACAGCTATACTTCTGGCTTTTTTGTGGTTAGGTGGTGGTAAGAGTCTCATGGAATTTCCTGCACTGGCCGTATTTTTGTTGTTGTTGTTGTTTTTTGTCATGGGTCTTGAACTCTGTGCCTGAGTGTTGTCCCTCAGCTCTTCAGCTCAAGGCTAGCACTCTACTGCTTGAGCCACAGCACCACTTCCGGTTTTCTGGTGGTTAATTGGAGATAAGTGTCTCATGGACATCCTGCTTGGGCTGGCTTTGAACCGCAGTGCTCAGATCTCATCCTTCTGAATAGCTAGGATTACAGGCGTGAGCCACCAGCGCCTGCTGGTTTTGAACCATGATCCTCTCATGTCAGCTTCCTGAGTAGCTAGGATTACAGGCATGGCCCATAGTTGTCAGGCCTAGAGGTTTATTTCTCCTGTTAACTCCTTTTAAAGTTCAAATGGTTTTTGCAGGAACCCCTCCACCCCAATGATAAATTATTATATAAAATATGTTAAAACTATCACTGGACACTGTGAAAATAAACTACAACTTATAGGTAGGCAAGGGAGGGGAAAACAGAGCAAGAGAAGGGGTGACATTGTCCAAAGAGAAATGTACTTTTTTCCTGATTTACATAACTGTAACCCCTCTATACATCACCTTTATTATAATAACAACAAAAAATTAAAAATACGTTAAAACTAAAAATATGCTAAAACTTGTGTGCAAAACTTGGGCAAAGAACTAAAAGGGTTTGTCTGTTAAAGTACACAACCAATGAAGTCTTGAGGAACACATGTGAAATTTGACAAATACTATTTTTTCTTTTCCTAGAACTAAATTGCCACTTGCAACACAAACTCATTACTGATTGCTGCATTTTCAGTTCTTTTCTTTTTTTTTTCTTTTTTTTGGGTCCGGTCGTGGGACTTGAACTCTGGGCCTGAGTGCTGTCCCTCAGCTCTTCAGCTCAAGGCTAGTGCTCTACCACTTGAGCCACAGCGCCACTTCCGGCTTTTTTCTTTTTTCTTATGTGGTGCTGAGGAATTGAACCCAGGGCCTCAGGCATGCAAGGCAAGCGCTCTACCACTAAGCCAACTTCCCAGCCCTGAATTTTCAGTTCTTTCATGTGTAGCATTCTCATCTTTCACATCATGACTGAATGGTATAGACCACCTTCAGATTCTTTGTTGGCAAGAAAATAATTGAAAACGTCTTGTTTTTAGATCGTTCCTGCAACCCTGCCCTGCTGAGCATCATTACAAACATAGCTGCACCAACCCCAAAGTCTGTAAATTCAACCACTGTAGCCCCCACCGCTGCTCCCCCATCAACAAATAGCCACTTTATGGATGCAAATGGTGTTTGTGGGCTGTTAGTCCTTTTTTGCTGCCTTGTGTATTCTAGGTAAGTGAAAAAAATACATCGTACAATTCTCATAAAAATTACTAATAGAGAACTAGCCATTTTAGGGTTTTAGGTGCTCTGAAATCCAAGGAATGGAGGAGGTAGAGATTGGGAGAATTGAAGTTTGAGGCCAGACCAGGCCAAAAGTTTATGAGACCCCCTTCCTCCCTTCTCAATCAGTAAAGCTGATTGTGGTGGGGATGCTCCTGTTATTCCAGCTAGAAGAGAAGTATAAGTAGGAGGATTAAAATCCAGGTTGACCAGGACATAAACTATTGAAAGAAAACTGAGACAGGGTTGGGAATGTGGTTCAGGTAATAAAGCGCCAGCATGGCTGTCAGAAGCCCCTGTGTTCAAACCCCAGTACTGCCCCCCAAAAGTTCCATAGTTAAACAAAACTCCAGGTTTAACTTACTTGTACCCAGCCACTTCACTGATACTTTTTTGTACAGTAGCATTACTGTAGGATTACTTTAATATGAAATAATTGAAATAGGAAAGGACAAATTATTTTATGTAAGTTGGTAAAATAAGAAAAAAATATGTATTAAGTAGAAAATGAAGGTGCCCTTCCCTCCAAAATCCATTTTTCCCGTGAAGTACATTTATTACATAGTATTTCAGGCTTTTTCCTTTGTTGGTAGTAGTATATAGATACAGAACTCTGTAATATATATAGTGTGTGTGTATATATATATATATATACACACACACACACACACTATGTGTATGTATATATATACATATACATACACATAGTGTGTATATATACACATAGTATATAGTATATAGTAGTAATGTATATAGATCAATGTAATTTTGTTTATATCATTGTTACATAATTTAAAAATTAGAACTAATGTAAATACATATATTGTGTAAAATATAGATGGGTCATTATAATTTCGGCAGTCTTTTACATTATAAATTCTCTTCATGCTTTTTTAAAGGATTGCTTAAAATAAGAATTGGAAAACCAAGCTGGGCACCAGTGGTTCATGCCTGTAATCCTAGCTACTCAGAAGGCTAGATCTGAGGATCTTGGTTCAAAGCTAGCCTAGGCAGGAAAGTCCAACAAACTACTCAGAAAAAGCCAGAAGTGGCGCTTGTGGCTCAAGTAGTAGAATGCTAGCCTTGAGCACAAAGAGGCTGAAGTATAGCACTTAGGCCCTGAGTTCAGACCCCAGGACTGGCAAAAAAAAATAAAAAAGATTTGGCAAACTGTTGCCCTTGGACTGTCTAGCTATCTTTGTAAATAAAGTTTTATTAGAATACAGGCATATATTCATTGTTTCTGAATTACCTATGACTTTGTTCTGCTTTTTGACCTAATGTTTTAATTTTTTATTTAATGTTTAATTTTTATTCAGATACCATAAAATTTATCCTTCTAAAATATATCTAGTTTACGGGGCTGGGAAGGTGGCTCAGTGGTAGAGCGTTTGCCTTGCATGCATGAGGCCCTGAGTTCGATTCCTCAGCACCACATAAGCAAAAAGAAAAAGCCAGAAGTGGCGCTGTGGCTCAAGTGGTAGAGTGCTAGCTTTGAGCTGAAGAGCTGAGGGACAGCGCCCAGGCCCAGAGTTCAGGCCCCACGACCGGACCCAAAAATAAAATAAAATAATCTGGTTTAGTAGTTTTATTAGTATAATCACAAGGTTTATATAATCAATTTTACCACAATAAATTTTAAAACATTTTCATAATGGGTGTATAGCTCAGTAGTTAGGCCTGTGGGTAGGATGTACAACACAGGCTTAAAGTAGAACTTATGGCAGAAGTTGGACAGAAAAAATCAACTGTGGGATCCTTGTCTTATTCCTGTTCTTAGAAGAAATAGTTTTTTACCATTAAGTGTGATGTTAGCTCTCTTTCTTTTTTCTCTATTTTTTAATTGCTAGGTTTGGGGATGGAGGCATGGCTTCGTTGGTTAGAGCACTACTAGCCAGTAAGCAAAAAATATCAGGTACTGAGCTCAAATTCCAATCTCAGACCAAAAAAGTAAAAAAATAAAATAAAATTGGTGTGTTTTATCAATATGAAAAAGTCCTGTATTATTGTAGTTTTTGTCCTTTTTTTTGGGGGGGGGTCCGGTCGTGGGGCCTGAACTCTGGGCCTGGGCACTGTCCCTCAGCTCTTCAGCTCAAGGCTAGAAATCTACCACTTGAGCCACAGTGCCACTTCCGGCTTTTTTCTTTTTGCTTATGTGGTGCTGAGGAGTCGAACCCAGGGCCTCATGCATGCAAGGCAAACGCTCTACCACTGAGCCACCTTCCCAGCCCCTAGTTTTTGTCCTTTATTCATGTCGTTGAACTCAGGTTTGTTTGTACAGAGATGACATTATGACTATTGTTAAGGACTTCCTTCATAACAAGTAAGGCAGGAATGACAAGTGCTGAGGCAGGATCCCCAGGGAGCTGGGAGAAGTGGGCGGAGGCTTCTACCCAGCCTTCGGGAGAGGGGCAGTGCCAGGGAAAGCTTTCCTGAAGACATGGCAATGAATCAGAGAAGTGCCATGAGCTGAGAAGAGGGTAGTGGGTGATGATTTCCAAGTATAGAAGAGGCACTTTTCAAGTCACTAACCAGACACTGCAGGCATAGTATGCTTTGGGAATCGAGTCATCAAGTAGTCGTAGCTCACGTAAGTACTGATAGTCTTATAATAACAGCCAGCAGGTCAAAGGCCTTTGGTGTTCAGAGCATCACAGAGATAAACCTTATGCACATGGGTCAGAGGGAGTGAAAACTCAATCTAAACTCATCTAAAAGGCTCTTTTCTAATATGTCCTCTTTGGGGTCATTTTCCAGCATCCGTACATCCAGCAACAGCCAAGTGAACAAGCTGACCCTCTCAGGGAGCGACAGTGTGATTCTGGGCGATACAGTCAATGGAGCTGGCGATGAAGAAGATGGACAGCCACGGCGGGCTGTGGACAACGAGAAAGACGGAGTGCAGTACAACTACTCCTTTTTCCACTTGATGCTCTGCTGTGCTTCTTTGTACATCATGATGGCCATGACCAACTGGTACAGGTGGGAGGAACTGAATCCCTGCAGGACCCTTTCTCTTACTCATATAATGAAGCTGAGTCCAATGTTCTTGCCTGGAATTTTTTTTGAGATAGGATCTCACCATATGATCCAGGCATCATTTTGAACTCATACTCCTCCTACCTCAGTCTCCTGAATTGCAGAGATTTCTAGCATATGTCTCCACCGCCAGCTCGAAATACTTTAGCAGCTTTTTTTTCTAGCATTGAAAACTCAGTTAGAATGCTTTGCAGTGCAAATTATTGGTAGCTCTTCCAGACTTGAGTTATTTAAGAGAATCATGACATCATGTAGTCTAACCCATCTTTGTTCAGAAGTATTTTTCCGTGCCAGATCTGGCCATACCATAGTGTTTTGGTCACAGTAGTGTTCCTGGGAAAGAAAGTTTCAGGAAGAAGGGTCATTTCAATCTAGTCTTTGCCAGTAATTAGAATCAATGGATGATCATAACCTTGCCCAAAGCACAGTGGGATTTTTTCATGCAGGCAAGAAACAAAATACCATTTGAGAGGAGGGAAACAGCTCACAAGACCTAAAAATAACAGCTTCTAAAGCCCCAACCAAAACTCTCCTAGACTAGTGCCAAGCAGTGGGACTGGGGGAGTTTTTCAGCCTTAGCCAGGGGACTATAGGATGTCAGTACCAGGTTCTTCACATCTTCACATAACTCTTTTTTTTTTTTAAAGCCCTAATGCCAACTTCCAGAGGGTGACCAGCGAGTGGCCAGCTGTGTGGGTCAAGATGGGATCCAGCTGGGCCTGCCTCCTCCTCTATGTCTGGACCCTCGTGGCTCCACTGGTTCTTACTGGTCGTGACTTCAGCTAAACTCTCCAATGCCAAGGACTCTGCTGAAGTTCATAAAGGTCTCCTTTGCTGAAAACTCATATCCCTTTTTAGTTTCCTTTAACTAAACTATTAAGTGAATGCCTTTGCAAATTTGATTATATCCAGATTTATATATCAAAAGGCAAGAGTGAATAATGCTTGATGCAGAATCTGAACTTTTTATTTCAATGTATATTTTGTTTACTTGGAAGGATATAGCACAAAGGGAACATTTTTGTGTTTTAAAGAGAACTACAGCTGTGCTGTGAAGATAGTTCTTTATAAAGACCTGTAGGTTCATACAGCTTTGATTTAAAGTATAAGATATAAGAATGTTGGATATTTGAGCCTATCTTTAATATATTTCTATTTCATTCTCCTTAAAAGGCAAAAAAGTAATACATTACTATGACATTTTCCTCTGTAAAGGTCTTTACCATTTAGTGTAAGCTCTTCAGAGGTGTAGCGTATCTTAGGTTTGGGGTGAGGATTATGTATGTAGTCCTTCCCCAGAAGAAGGGTTGCTGACAAGGCTACTACTTCCACATCTTGAGTCTTCTTTACTTTTTTAATACTATAGCATTGATGCTGCTTGATACAAGTCCATGGCTTTATCAGATATGTTCAATAAATGCTTTGTAGGTTTGATTAAAGCAAAGACTCACTTGGGAAAACATTGCAATGTTTCTGTAATGATCTTGTTACCAGTATGTAAAAGTAAAATGCATGTCAATTTATTATATTTGCACTATAAAGGTATTTGATTAAACTAGATATTAAGCTTTTTTTTTTTTCTTCTTTTTGAGACAGTGTCTTGCTATGTAGTCCAGGCTGGTCTCTGAGACTCAGGATCCTCCTTGAACATCTTGTGTGCTAGTTCTGTGGTGTGCATCACCATACTCAGATCCTTATGTCTCCTTCATTAATACTTGAGCAGCAACTGTTTGTTGTTTCTGGAGAGTAACAGGTTTATCTAGCATTTAGTCAGGATGTTCCTATTCTTTCAAAATGTATAGTCTTGACTAGTGAGCCAGGACTTAAATGCATTCAGAAACTCACCTGAATATTCTTAGGACTTAAATTCATTCCGAAACTGTTCTGAATATTCTTTTTACCACCGACTTTTGTAGGTGAGAGACAATTAATGCACTGTCAAAAAAACATTCCTAAGCGGTGGGTATGGCTCAAGTGGAAGAGCACTTGCCTGACAAGCACAAAACCCTGAATTCAATCCCCAGTACCACTTCAAAACAAAACCATATTTCCAAAAGGCAGCATATCAAGAGAGAGAATGAAATATTTTTTCTCAGCAAAGATTTAATGGGTGTCTATCCTGACACCAGGCTGTGTAGGTTCTGGGTTGTAACTTGAAACTTGACAGGCGCACCTGCTCTTCATCTTAAAAGGAGTAAAAATTAGTTGGGTGAATTAGTGCTGTGATCTTGGCATTTTATTTTTATTTATTTATTTTTTTGGGGGGTCTGGTCGTGGGGCTCTGGGCCTGGGCGCTGTCCCTCAGCTCTTCAGCTCAAGGCTAGCGCTCTACCACTTGAGCCACAGCACCACTTCCAGCTTTTTTCTTTTTGTTTATGTGGTGCTGAGGAATCGAACCCAGGGCCTCATGCATGCAAGGCAAACGCTCTGCCACTGAGCCATCTTCCCAGCCCTGATCTTGGCATTTTAGAGCTACTTGAAAAGTGAAGTACTTGGGGGAGAGGGTGTCACTATGGATGTCCTAGCAGTGTCATTAGGAGTCAGCCAGCAAGTCACAGGACAGATGGGTGACACTTCTGACGGGCAAGCTCAGGGAAAGTGTTCCTTAAAGCTGGAAAGGGAAGGACAAGGAGGTTGAGTTGTGGAAGCTTTGTATCCTCCCCCACCCCCAAACCCTAGGTTTGAACCTGATTGATGTTGAGGACAGCAGAAAGCATATTCAGAGTATCCTAAACAAGGATGTCATCAGTCACTTTGGCTAACATATAGAAGAGATGATTATGGACAATCCATATGAGACTTGAAATCTAGACATAGAATAGGATATAGAAAGAAACTGAGAGCCTAGAATCATTTGGTAATTAGAATTAGCTATGAGGGGGACATAGATACTGAGGAATCTGGTTTAGTTATATGGGCAAGTGATGTCCATTTATGAAGGTGGGGAGCAGGTTTCGTCACAGGGTGGAGGTGGTCCCTGAAGGCTGGTTCACGGGCCTGGTTGTCAGGCCTTTTGGGTTGGCCTCCTAGCTTTGACCTCTTCTAGCTATCAGGTCAATCAGCTGATAGATACTGAGTACATGCTATGCTTCACACACCAATGGCTGCCTCTCTGAGCCTCAGTATTGTTCCTAAGATTGTTTAAATAAGACTAAAGCCAGGCACTGGTGGCCCATGCCTGCAATACTCGCTATTCAGGAGGCTGAGATCTGAGGTTTGCAATTTGAAGCCAGCCCAGGCAGAAGAGTTCTCATGAGACTCATCTCCAATTAACCACTCAAAAACTGGACGTGGTGTTGTGGCTCAAGTGGTAGAGTGCGAGCCTTGAGCATAAAGAGGCTCAGGGACAGTACCCAGGTGCTGAGTTCAAGCCCTACAACTGACTTAAAAAAATTTGCAGAATGCTCAACCCATTGTAAGCACTCTGAACAGCTGCTACTCTCAATATGATTAAACAAGAGTTTAAGAAAATGTTTAAAATCTGATGGAAGCTGCAATTGAGGTGTTTGTAGATGATTAAGCAAACATGGGGCAGTGTTGGTTGGGGAAGGGGTGAGGTTAGGGAAACAGGGCTTTGTATGAGCTGTTGGAACCCCTGGCCTTAACACCAGCCGTTTATGTCAGGTTCCTGTGTGGAAATCAAGTTGCGAAGGCTGCTAAGGGTAGGTGGGCGTGGCTCTTGTAACCACCACAAAGTAGATTCTTAACAGCTGGGGAGCCACATTAAGAGCTGTAAAGTTTCTGAACTTCAAAAACGTTTTAGTGTCCTGTCCTTTGCCTTATGTAATTCAAAAATCAAAGCAATACTAAACTGTAAAAGGGTAACAAAGTCGAATAAAGCTTTTCCATTTTTTTCCTTCCTGACTTTGATATTTGAAATAGCAAATTTTCTTTAAAAAATTAGGGACAATGTCTGCTTGGTTTTTTGTCATACCCCAAGAATGAGCTCAGTCTTCTTACTAATAGGAAACCCAGTCATTCATTTAAGACTCAAGTGAGTTATGCAGGTGAGTGCTGAATTACACACAAAAACAATGCCAGCGTTTTGAGTAAGCCCAGGAGCATACTTTTGAAAGCAGGGTAGTATTTTGAGTCATCTGATCTCACAGTGTCATCTCATTCCAGACAAGTCATTTGGTATGTCATTAGGAACAAGCCTTCCTGTCTCCCTAGGGCTGAGATATTGGGGTCCTGGCTTTGAGGTAAGAGGCATGTTCTAGAAATTCATCAAATGCAACAGAAATGGCTGCCACTTTGACCTAGTTACAACTGAGATAAAGCTGGTAGGCTTGATTTGCATTTACTTTCTAGGGTGGTGTTTTGATCTGCTTAGAATAGGGTCTCACTATAACCCAGGCTACCCTCCCACCAAGAACTGGAATTACAGACCACCACATTCTAGATTGATCTTGTCTGCATTTGGTTGGGAAATTAAACTTTCAGTGGTCATGGATGTGATTTATCAGTACTGCTTTTGATATTCTGGAACAAATTATAACTTGGGTCTGACTTAAAGGAGGATAGCCTTTTTGTTCACGGCAAGTTCTTGCTTGACACATCAAGCTAGAGTGCGTAATCAAGTCATGTGATGCTGCAGGCTGGTAGCAGATGTTGGTATTGGGCTTATTCATGAGCGGAGGAGAGCTGTTCACCTCTTTCCTCCTGTTCCCTGAGGGGTGTCCTGGTGACTGAATCCTCAGGTGAAGAATGATAAATGACATATATGACATACACAGCTCCCTACATGTGCCATCCACGGACTGGATTTTATTTCCACCTCTGTAGATAGCTGATGATTACCCTGCTCCCCACTTTACAGGTCAAACAGAGGCTTAACATAGTTAAAAACTTGGCTCTGGGTCATGGCTAGGAAGAGATGGAATAAGACAAACTTGGCTTGATTTCTGAGTTCTTTTCTCAATTGGATCTCACTGTCTCAAGGTCTTAATATAGGAGACATGGTATATGTTGCAGAGTGCTTGGATGTGTGGGGAGTCAATTGGCTCCCAAAACCATACATCACTTACAAAAGAAAGTAATACCCTGAAGCCAGTCAAGTAAGAGCAGGTGCATCTGGTTAACATTTCCTCCAAGGTGCTGCTCTAAAGGAACTTAATGTTTTTGTGCTGGTCCTGGGGCTTGTACTCAGCACTTGAGTGTTTGTCCCTGAGCTTTGTCACTCAATGTTCATGCTCTATTACTTGAGCCACAGCTCCAATTCCAGCTTTTCAGAATCTCCCGGACTTTCCTGCTTTGAACCATGATCCTCACATTTCAGGTTCCTGAGTAGCTAGGATTATAGGCAAGCCACTAGTTCCTGGCCCTTGTTTTCTGCTTCATGGGGGAGGGGAAGGGGTAACTGGGAATTGAACCTATGCCCTTGCATATACTAAAAACCACTGAGCCCTATCCTAGCCCTACTTACCAGCATTAAAGGCAGCAACACAGTGTCATTGCTGCCATCGACTGGGAGTGCCCAACCCATCCTGTGGGGCACAGGCCTGGAGAAAGTGCTGCTGCTCCAAGCACAGGACGGCACTGCCATTCACCCCCATAGCCCAGCTGTGTGGTAAAGCATTGGAACTGTTGGCACCTGTTTTCTAGAGTAAGAAACTGAGCTGAAGTCTCACAGCTTCCTCAGGAAAGGCCATCCACGAAGAGCTAGCTGTGCTGTGGTATGTAAGGAAACTGAGTCATGAGGGTATCAGAGTAAGAGCAGAAAGTGAACTCAACAAACCAACAGACTTTTAGTTTGGGTAAAAGCCTGGGAGGGATTCCAGAGTCTTCCAGCCAGACTGGAAAGAGAGTGATGTGCTCTCTTACACCTGAGGTCTTAACCTTTCATTGGGCAGAGAATGAAGCCAGGTGGGGCAGGGGTCTGGGGTAGTTTGTCACACGAAGTAGGGTAGGATGTGAACTTGAGAAGTGAATCTTTGTGCAGAGATGGAATCTTGAGTTTACAGGGAAGCATCTGTTTGTAGCAGACAAGTCCAAAAATGGTTGAGCCCTCAGTTCACAGGTTCTCTCTTACCACCATAGGCTATGTTTGAGAAGGGGGTGGAGATGATTCAAATTCAGCAAGGACTGTCAGGGGGAAAGGTGAGTGTTTTGACTGTTAAGTCATTGTCCATCACAGTGAGAGCCTAAAACCTGTGGGACCACCAGGAGGAAGCCTGTTTCTCACCTGTTCACCTGCCCCCCAGACATACCAACAGGGTATGTCTCCCCTGGGACAGTGTATACTCCTATGCAAACACAAAGGGGACAGGTAGAGAAAGAGCCTAGCATATACCGTGCCAATCAAGCCACACAACACTTTTGGTCCTCAAGGAGTTGACTTGCTTTTGAAATAAAATGTTACAATTTGGATCTGTTATGTGAGCTGGGGTGCCAGTGGCTCACACCTGTAATCCTCGCTACTCAGGAGGCTGAGATCTGAGGATCTTGATTCAAATCTAGCCCCAGCAGGAAAGTCCTGGAGACTCATTTCCAATTACCCACCAGAAAACCAGAAGTGGAGCTGTTGCTCAAAGTGGTAGAATGCTACCCTCGAGCAAAAAGAGCTTAGAGTCAGCACCTAGGCCCTGAATCCAAACCTCAGGACCAGCTCCCAAGAAAGAACTGTATGTTTTCAGAAAGCAAGCCCATTTCTAACTCTTCTTCTAAGTTTTCTACCTTCTTCCTCAGTGTTCTGTAGGGTTATTTCTAGCCCTCTGGCTCTTGATGCAGGGCCTGGTCAGACTGCCTGGCTTTGAATCTCCTGTCTGCTGTTTGTTTGGCTGTGTGTCCTCAGGCAAGCTGTTTTTCTCTTGTGCCCTATTTTCCCCACAGAGCAATTCACTTCTTTAAGTACCTGAAGATTAAATGATATTATATCATGTGGCTCTTAATCCATGTTCCTGGAACACTCTTGGTATGGTAGGGCTGTCTGTACCAGGGAGGATTCAAGGCCTGAATTCAGTTCCTGAAGAGCCTGGCTGAACTTTGAGAATTACAATTTTTCCCCCGCCAGTAGTGGGGTTTGAACTCTGGTCCTCGCACTTACTAGACAGACACTAGACAGAGCCTCACCTTGAATCGTGATTTGAACAGTTTCTGAGATAGGTTCTTGTTCCCTGTCCAGGTGTGCAGCAGGATGCAACTGACCTATCCTGGGCTTCCTGTTAGCTCGGGTGACAGGCATGCACCTCAGCATCCAGCTCTTTCTTGTTACATCATGTAAAGATTTTTTCTGTCCAGATTGGCCTTGAACCTTGATCCCAAAAATCTCAACCTCTGAAGTAGCTAGGATTTCCAGGTGTGAGCTACTGGCACCCAGCCGAGAACTGGAACATTTGTTTTTTGGTTTTTTTGGGTCCGGTTGTGGGGCCTGAACTCTGGGCCTGGGCGCTGTCCCTCAGCTTTTCAGCTCAAGGCTAGCGCTCTACCACTTGAGCCACAGCGCCACTTCCGGCTTTTTTCTTTTTGCTTTTGTGGTGCTGAGGAATCGAACCCAGGGCCTCATGCATGCAAGGTAAGCACTCACTCTACCACTGAGCCACCTTCCCAGCCCCATGAACTGGAACATTTGTATACTTTCTCTTCTACCTTGTATATCTAACTCTGCTTGGCACCCATTGATGTGGCCCAAGTGCTTACAACCTTTGGAGGCAGTCAGCCCACCATCAGCCACAGTGCCCTCCCAAAGCTCAGAATCTTTGTCCAAAATGTCACTGTCACAAAAGAACTGAACACATACTCAACGTACACAGGGATTTTTTTTTTATTCTTTAGGACCCAGACATGCATACTAAAATTACTATCTTCACCATTCTGACATAGAAAAATGCACTAGAAAAATAAATTTTTGATCAAGACAAACAGTAAGTCTACTCCACATCCCTAGACTCAAAGGCAAACTGAATTTCAGTTTCAAGCAAGGGATGTGACTGGGCAGGAAGTGAGCCTGGCTCCCACCTCATCAGAGTGTGGTACCCGAGGGCTGGCCACAGGGGTTTCAAGTATTTCATCTGTAACAAGTTCTTCCCTGATATGCCAGGAAGGCATATCTACACAGCTTTCAGCATCAGTCAATCAATGCCTGGCTAAAGAAGCTGCCAGTGAGATGTAAAACCAACAAAACCCCAGCTAGTTGAAGATACATCTGTGTGCATAAAGCTGACCTTTCCATGAACTGAGCTCCTGGACTGCAGGAATATTTGATGTTGGTTTTCTTGCATTTCAAGCAAATCCCTTCTGAGTCGGCAGAGCAGAAAGGAATTTCCTTTAAATTTACCAAGTTACTAGATGTCCCACACTGAGGGGTCTTGGGTGGGGGTGTGGGGGGGCAGACATCTTTTCCTGAGCAGTCATTGGCCCTGAGAGGCCACATTTCTAGCATTAGCCAATGTTTTTCATTCCCGCAGTGAAAGGAGGCTGGAAAAGAAATCCTGAAACATTAGCTTGAAAATCATCACAATGCCGCCATCGCAGTAGAGATGCTGCTGGTGGAAGGACATTTACAGAAACTTCATCGTAAAGCCTTAACAATAGCTTACAGAAGTTCAGGAGAAATGCTTCTTATCACCCCCACGCCTTTTGGGGGGAAAAGAAAGTGATCTGTAACCTTCAGTGCTGAAACACAGGACAAGCTTTGTGGAGACATCCAAAGCAGTCTCTGCAAGGAGCCGGCAGTGAAGCTGGGGTCGCACTTCTGGCTGCCTCTTCTCATGAAGGTAAAATAGATTTCTACAAAGAAGCCAATTTCCGGAAGTCAATAGGGGAAATGGAGGAAGAAGAAAACTACTTCTCAGCTAACATACATCTTGAGGCTGGCAGTTCATTCTGACCTAAATTTCCTAATAACATGAGGTGGGGGGACGGTCGGGAGGAGGAAGAGAGGAAAGAGACGGGGGGGGCGGGGGGGGGAGAGGAAGCCAGGCTCTACCAAGATAGTGTACCTGTGGCAAAACAGTGGTCAGATACTAGGAACAGAGGGTTGTTTCCTTTGTCCTATAATAATTCAGGGATGTTAAGGCTAGATAGGCAAGATAAAGCTGGAACTCCCATTCTCCTAATATCCTATCCCTTCCTCTTCCCCATTCCACACAACCTTGCTGTGTGGGAAATGTTCCTTCCCTGGTGTTGGTGAGACATCCTCAGTCCTGTGTTCACTGCACTTCACCACGAGAAGCTCACTGTTCCCCTGCTGGTGAACATAACATCCTGCCTGGCTTCACAGCTTGCCAGGACTATGGGATCTTGCTTTGAAGCCAACTCAAAGTGTAGCCACTCCAGGAGGCAGAGGGGCCCAGGCTGCTCCTCTCAGAGGCTGGATGAAAACACCTCTAGCTCTAACTAGAAAGGTTTGGCAAATGGGAAAGAGCCTTTATGGGCCTCTGAGATACTTCTCCACTGAGCTCAACTTATCCCTGTATGAAGCCACATAGACAAAAGATGACTGGCCAGGAAGGGGATACAGGGTTTGAGCCTGGGAACTTGGTGAGACCGATTCATCCTCCTCTGCCTAGGTTTTTTATTGATTGATTGATTTTTTTGTCAGTCATGGGCTTGAACTCTGGGCCTGGGTGCTGTCCCTGAGCTCTTCAGCTCAAGGCTAGCGCTCTACCACTTGAGCAACCGCACCACTTCCAGTTTTCTGGGTTAACTGGAGATGAGAGTTTCATGGGCTTTCCTGCCTGGGCTGAGTTTGAACCTTGATCCTCTGATCTCAGCCTCCTGAGTAGCTAGTAGGATTACAGGTGTGAACCACTAGGGCCCGGCTTTGCCTAGTTTTTGTTTTCCTACTTTCTTTTCTCAGGCTGTAAGAAAGTTTTTAATGGGTTCTCCTGTCCAGGCTGCTGGGTTCGGAAGCCTCTACCTGGCCTCAAGTAGGTGGGATATAACCAGCAATGCTGCTGGTTATATCTTCAGATGCAGCTAAGGGCAGCCAGAGATGGGTTTTACTTTTTGGCACCTCCAGCTCAGCCAGGACTCAAGTAGAGGACACAGGGTTAGTACCTATGATGAAAATAACTTTCCTTATAATTGGCATTAATGAGGTAAGTAAATTCATTCAACCAGCATCTTCCCCAGTCAGTTTTGAACAATGGACCTTTGGATTTGAGAGTAGTATCTCTCTTCCCTGCCTGCTTAGTTGAATAAATGCAGAGTAAAATCACATACAACAGGTAGTATTTGTCACTAATTCCATAATTGCATGGGACGAATCTGAAGAGGGCAAAAGCCATCAGATGAACCCCTCCTTATGCGATGCTTGGTTTAAGGCTAAAATCCTGTCAAGGGACATCTAAAGTGCTGACATAGAAAATTAACATTCGGCCAACTGGTCCTCCCACCAGAGAAAGAAAAACACTCCAGTGAGTCTGAGAGGGCAGGGCCCCTGGAAGTGAGCGCGCAGGAACCCGCCTCGGTGCATTTGCAAGAATAAAACTTAAGCCCATGTACTGGAACCACTGGAGCTGGGTTGACAATACAGTACTGTCTCAGGGAGGGGAGGAATTCATACAGGATTCAGGTCATCTCACTTGGCCCCTCAAAAAATGATCCTCATTTTTCAGTTGTAACCATCACAACAAAAAGCAAGTTGTTGTCACTGAGTCCCAGGAATATACACATCAGTTTCTTTAAGGGCAAGACCAAATAGTGACACTTCTTCATGGAAAGGCCTGTGAATATATCACAAAATATCAGGACCTAGACAGTTAATCTAGACATTTCTGTAGGCAGAAAACCTAACGATAGCTTAACACCAATACCAGAAGCTCAGCAGCCAAAAGAGCCTCATGAGTTGTCCACAGTCTCATATCCAAGGTACAGGTCTCTGATCCCTAGATCCCAATTCTATAGGCCTAGAATCAGTCTATTACATGGAACAAAATCATACACTTCTAGGATCCTGTATGATTCCATTGAGAACCAAGGCTAAGGCTTTATGGATTTGGAGATGAGGTGGAGTGGGAGTTTTTTTTTTTTTTTTTTGGTTGGTCATGGGGTTTGAACTCTGGGCCTTAGCTCTGTCCCTTAGCTCTTCAGCTCAAGGCTAGTGCTCTACCACTTGAGCTATAGTGCCACTTCCGATTTTCTGGTGGTTTTTATTGGAGATAAGAATTTCACGGACTTTCCTGTCCAGGCTGGCTTTGAACCATGATCCTCAGATCTCAGCCTCCTGAGTGGCTAGGATTACAGGTGTGAGCCGCCAGCGCCCAGTGGGGGTGGGAGTTTCTATTGCAAGATCCAAATAAAGGAATTCCGAGGATGCTTTGAAGTCTCTGGCTTTCCAAATCTGGCTAGGAAGTGCTGCTCGGGTTCTGGTGTTCCCACTCAGTGAAGGTGCTTTCTAGGCCCAGTGATGGCAACTGGGGCCTGTATCTCAAGCAACACAAGTCTGCAGTTAAGGTTCACAGGAAAGACAGAATCCCAGCGCCTCACATTTGGCCACATTATGGATTTGGCCAAATGGTTGCATGAGAATAATGCTGACTGGCCAATTGTGGTTTTTCTTCTGGGAAGACCAGTCACTTTGGTCCCCACTTTGCTTGTTTCTGAGCTACATATGAAGCAGAGACAGCTTCCAGCAAGCTGAGAGTTTGGGAATCGATGGGAATACTTTCCATGTCTTCCCCCAAAATAATCATGTGGCCAATGGCTCAACCACCAGGATGGGCTCGCTTAGGGTGCTCTCCCTATGGTTCTTCCATGCTGCCATTTAATTACAGAGAGCAAGACTGAGGCCTTGGCACCGTAAGTTCTTCTGAGTATCTGAAGAAGAAAGGAAAGGAGAGCTGGGTGGGCTGACACTCCCGGGGGACTGGCTAATAGCAAGAGTAGAGCTGGGACTTGACAGCGCGCATGGAGTCGTCACACTGTGCATCTGAGGTCAGCCCCTCCTGCAGCAGCGCCTGGCCCAGGATGCTGTCGCAGGCAGGGACAGGCTGGCAGAACTCTTTCACAAAGTCATCCTCTGAGGCCAGCAGCACTGCGTTCCAGGTGGCAGTGTCCAGCTCCCCAGCTGTGCCCCCATATTCCTTGGGGAGAATGTTTCTTGGGAGGTTTGTATGGAGAGAGTTCAGGTCAGACCCGTGGAGGAAGAACTAAAAGAAGATGGGATACAAAACACAGACACATGTCTTTAGGTATTCAATCATACAGCACATTCTTTCTGACCTAGCTACTCAGGAGGCTGAACTGTGAGGATCGCAGTTCAAAGCTAGCCTGGGCAGGAAAGTATGTGAGACTCTTATCTCCAATGAGCCACCAAAAAACTGGAAGTGGCGCTGTGGCTCAAAGTGATAGAGTGCTAGTCTTGAGTGAAAAAGCACAGGGGCAGTGTCCAGGCCCTGAGTTCAAGTCCCAGAAAAAGAAAAGAAAAGAGAAAAGAAAAGATCGAAAGGATTGTTTATTTGTATTTACTTGGAATGCCATATTTTCCAAATTAGTTCTAGGGCAAAAAAATTAATTACCTGAAGTCTGAAATAAGTTGAGGAAAAAAACAAAAACCTAAGGCTTATAAAATCAAAGCATCTTACTTACTCTGTTGGCTATTTTCTCCTTTAGGAATGGCTTAATGATGGCAAAAATGCCTTTAAATATTCGAGGCTCATTTACTACATGGACTGCTTTGATCCGAATGGGGAAACCATCCTGTGGGAAGGAAGAAGGAAACAGGATGTTAGAACAGCTGCAGTTTCTACAAACTCTGTTCCACAGCCAGTCTCTTCATTAAACCTCCATGAAAAGTCCCAACTGTGGTCTGCTCTGACTCTTCCAAGACAGTCCTACTGGGGCCACACAGGAAGAACAGTTTCTCCTAGACTGGGTCAGAGAGGGTTAGGCAAACAGGCAGACAGCTGCCCCTCTAGTAGCAAAAAGAGTTTGATTTGACATGGATTGATCTAGAAAATAGAAGACCTAGTGGGTCAGTGTTGCAAAAACTTTTCAAGGCAGGTAAGACAGCCTGAGAAATGTAGGATACATCCTGTAAACTTAAAAAAGAATAATTAGACTTTGCCAGAGAATCACGCAGACATCTAGGTACACAGAGCAAGGTTTATTGCCAGGAAAGGGAGCTGGCAAGATTCTTTCTCACATGGGAGAAGTGAGAAGAAGCACCGGCCATTGTCTGAGGTGACCTATATAACCTAGGGGGTTTAGGAGGGGCTAGAAGGGGCTAGGAGGCAGACCCTGGTGTGGATGGGTAGGCCAGGGGCTTCATCATGGCATACTAGGATTTATGGGTGCTGTCAAAATAGTAGATAAAGGTCCTGCAACTGTCCAGACCTGAAGGTCACTCTAAGGGGCTCTGTTGCCTTATATGGTGGTAGCTGCCCCAGAGAAGTGCTATCCCAAGGTAAAGGGGGGTTGGAGGCTGATTATTTACTGCCTTTACTACATGGGCCTGGTGTTGCCTAGGAAGGGAGCATGCTAAGCTGTGGAGAAGGGAAGGAGTGGACTAAGCTATGGGAAGGGAGCTCATTTTGCTAACACATCTTATCAAAGATGTTTCCTTAACTACAGTCCTGTTCACAGCCTTTAATACTTAGATCTTTCTGCTGAAATTCATATGATGTTTCCTAAGCTTGGTTAGCACTGGAACTTGTGTCTCTGCTAGATGATCTTCCAGTACCAGGTAAACACATTGCAAACCCCACCCTGACACGGCATGTGTATGGTACTCAGCTGGAGTCACCATACCAGTGTAGAGGTCAGAGGGTGAAGCTCAGTAGTAGAACATTTTCTACTATGTGTGAGGCCCTAAGCTCTATCCTCATCACCAAAACAAAGCAAAACACTAAAACAAAAGACCCCAAAACAAACCAGGTGTAGTGCGCTCCTGCTACTGTGTGACCTGGTGACTGAGGAGAATCACAGGTTTAATTTGAGGTCAACTTAGATTGCACAGTGAATTCAAGGCCAGCCTGGACTACATAGTGAGGCTATCTCAAAAACAACAAAACAAAACACAAAAAAGCTGAGTGCCAATGGCTCCTGCCTATAAGCCTCACTACTCAGAAGGCTGAGATCTGAGGATCATAGTTTTACATCAGGCCAGCAAAATGCCAGACTGGAGGCATGGTTGAAGTGGTAGAATATCAGCCATAAATGCAAAAGTAGAACCTCAAGTTCCTGACTTCGAGACCTGGTACCAGCACAAAAACAAAAATAAATTACCCACCCCCCCCCACACACTAGAAGATCAAAATCAGAAATCAAGTTGGCCATAAGGACCAAATAAATAGGACCACGACAACAAGCAAGTGCACAGCAGACACTTGAACATTTTTGGAAACTCAACAAGGGGTACTACTGCCCCACTGGTGCCCCATAAGTCACAAGAGACAGTGCTCAGGGGTAACAAAAAAAAAATCCAGACCCATTATACCACTGTGACACTGTGGCCATGTTCCCCTAGGTCTCAATTTCCCCATCAAAAAGAAAATGTCTTGGCTTGCTTAACTCAAAGATTCTCTGAAGGACCGAGTGCGTGGTAATGACTGTAACAGCACCTTGTCGGCACTGAACAGTGGGAAGCTATGGAAGGGACTTTACTTGGATTCTGAAGTGCGGAAGATGAGTAGTGAGGCTCTGACCAAAACACAGTCCCACATCAGAGGCTCTCTCTGGACAGTGGCATGGTTTCTGGGTTTTCTTTGGGATTCTTGCCCTAACGCTGATCTTGTGCAGACACGAGGTACCATCTCCAGGTGGTACCCTGCTGACAGCCATGACAGCCAGGACTGAAGATGATTTCCCATCTCAGGGTGGGAAGTGGGGTTTGTGGAACCCCATGCGACCTTCAGCAGAAGGACCTGGAGAAAGCCAAAAGAACCACAGACAGCAAAGAAGAGACATACCTGGAGGATGCCAATCACCTTTTTGGCTATAAAAGGGCCAAAATGAGATGCTTTTGATAAGCTCACTCCTTTGTAGTCTGTGAGAATGACAATTCCATTCACCTGGGTTTCTTCGGACTGAATGAGTTTTTCTAACGTCAAGTATATGGCCCGGATGTTTTCAGTAAATGGATAGTTGCTTGGTATCCACCTGTCTAAGATCAGAAGAGATGGACACTATGTTACAGAAATGAACACAAGCAATCAGATAAAGATTTACTTTCTCCAAACTGCTGTCGCAAATGGGACAAAGATATTCATGATCTTGAGCCAGGTACTGGTTCCTCACACCTGTAATCCTAGCTACTCAGGAAGCTGAGATCTAAGGATCATGGTTCAAAGCCCAGCCCGGGTAAGAAAGTCCATGAGACTCTTTAACCACCAAAAAAGCCAGAAGGGGAGCTGTGGTTCAAGTGGTAGTATGCTAGCCTTAAAAACAGCTCAGGCCAGGCGCCGGTGGCTCACACCTGTAATCCTAGCTACTCAGGAGGCTGAGTTCTGAGGATCGTGGTTCAAAGCCAGCCCAGGCAGGAAAGTCCGTGAGACTCTTATCTCCAATAAAAACCACTAGAAAACCGGAAGTGGCGCATTGGCTTAAGCGGTAGAGCGCTCGCCTTAAGCTGAAGAGTGCAGGGATAGCGCCCAAGCCCAGAGTTCAAGCCCCATGACCAACAAAAAACAACAACAAAAATAGCTCAGGAGCAGTGTCTAGGCTCTGAGTTCAAGCCCCAGGACTGGCACAAAAAGAAGAAAAAAAAAATCACCATTAATGATCCTACACAGCAATGGATACTTCTTAACTCCAAATGCGGGAGTGCATTTGGAAATGGAAATGGAACTGAGTGCTGAGATTAAAATATGAGCCTGGTGCTTTGCCCCTGTAGCTGAGATCTTGGGCAAGTTGCTTCCTGTCTCTGACCTCTATTTCCTAGGTTGGAGAGGATACTGATGCCAGCCAAGATGGACACCTCTGCTCTCTGCCATCTCCATTCCTGGCTGGCTTGGGAAGAACACTGAATGTTCCTTTCCATTTGTTCTGGGATCTGGTCTGGTGGAAGTGGACAGGCTATGAGAGGAGTGGGGAACACTAACGTGTGAGAGTGTGTTTGGTCGCATGGGATGGGGGCTGGGAATGTGGCTCAGTGGTAGAGTGCTTGCCTAGCATACATGAAGCCAATTCCTCAGTTCCACACATAGAAAACAAGCCAGAGGGGGAGCTGTGGCTCAAGTGGTAGAGTGCTAGCCTCGAGCAAAGGAGGCTCAGGGACAGCACCCAGGCCCTGAGTTCAAGCCACAGGACTAGGGCAGGGGTGAGGGGGGGAGGGAGGAAGAGAGAGAGAGAGAGAGAGAGAGAGAGAGAATGGAATGGCAAATTCCAGGGCAGCAGTTCCACCGGATTCTTTCCCTGGAAAGCTAGAATTTGCATTGAGGGCATTTAACTGGGGGGGCCAGGTGCATCTGAGAGCTGAGAGCCAGATTTAGCTTTCTTTGGCAGTCTTCAGGAGAAAACAAAACAAAACCAAACAGTGTGAAGATGATTTGCAAAGGCATCAGAAACGAATGGCCCAGAAGACACAGACACAGAGGCAGAGACAGGAAGGGCCGGCTTGGCTCCTGTAGCCCCTGGTTCCTGCTTCTAGGACTTGGTAAGAGCTGTTGCACCTTCATCTCTAGGGGAGGAGATGCTCCTGCCTCCTCAGCAGGTTCTGGCCATCTGCTGGCAAAAGGGCTTTAACGAAGAATGGGGAAAAGGGACCAGGAGAAAGGACAGGGCTCAGGATGGCGGGGACAGTCCCAGAGGGACAATACAGTGACAGCTGAGGTCAGTACCTGGGCGGATGCAGAGGATGTGGCAGCCCCTGGGGTCCGTGCAGGGCAGCACGGTGAGGAACCCGGAGCCGAGGACATCTTTGAGGGCCGAGGGCCTCAGGTTACTGAAGACCTCGGGCCAGCTTCGCCTGCAGCTGTGGTAGTTGACCAGCAGCTGCAGAGCGCGGTCATAGTCAAACTTGCGGGCCCGGAGGAAGCGCAGCAGGAAGGCGTCGTCCAGGGACGTGCTCAGGTTGGGGTACTCCTTGCGCACCATGTCGCGGAGGGCCTGGACATCCCGGAGTCTCCACTCGGGCTTCTCCTGCAGCTCCTCCCGAGCTTTGAGGACCAGCTCTTCGGTCAGTGAGCACACGTAGCCAGGAGGCTCGGCCGGTGGCGGCAGCTCATTCTCAGAGAGCGATGCTGCAGAGGGGCTGGTTCTCAGAGAGTCACTTTCTTCTGACATTAGCCACTAGGGTCCCTGTCGACACAGAGGGCCCCCAAAGCTAGGTGAAGACGCAGTGGCCCATGGCACAGTTTATGTGAATCCCCAGGATGTGGGGGACACGGATGTTCCTGTCCGGACCACAGACCTCAAAGGGGAATGAACTGGGATCTGAATAGTTTCCCTAGGTACAGACTTGACACAGAATCTTCTGGAAGACATCCAGCCTGCTCTGGCTCAATATACACCCTCTTCATCAAAACAGGACAGCTAGCCAGGCACTGGTGGCTCATGCCTGTAAACCTAGCTACTCAGGAGGCTGAAATCTCAGGACTGTGGTTCAAAGCCAGCAGGGTAGGAAAGTCTGTGAGACTCTTATTTCCAATTAACCACCAGAAAACTGGAAGTGGTGCTATGACTCGAGTGGTAGAGCATTAGCCTTGAGCTGAAGAGCTCAGGGACAATGCCCAGGCCCAAAGTTCAAGCCCCACAACCAACAAACAGCAACAACAACAAAAAAACCAAAACAGGACAGCTTCCTTGTATATCTTTTTTTTCTTTGGGTCTGGTCGTGGGGCCTGAACTCTGGGCCTGGGCGCTGTCCCTCAGCTCTTCAGCTCAAGGCTAGCACTCTACCACTTGAGCCACAGCACCACTTCTG